TGCCTTAAAATGTAGCCCTGGGGGCACACTGGGCTGTATATCGGGTCCATTTGGCCTTGGCCAGTGCCACTGTGAAGGCTGTGGCAGCGGGTTGAAGGTTGGCTCAGCTCCACCACCCTTCCTGCAGCCAGGATGGGTTCCCAGTTGCCCTGACTGGGGACGGAGGTTGGACACCCTGGTCCTTGCGACTGCAGGTGTAGCGACTTCCTCGGCAGGGGCCGAGTAGGTGTGAGGACCCTGACTTCAGAGGAGGGGAGCAGAGGGTTGAGGAAGGTGGGCGACTCCCTGAGAGGCATCTGGGCTGAGGGTGTGACTGTCCTTGGGCTGGAGCTTCCCTGCAGTGTTTGGATCTGAGTGGGGCTCTAGGCTGCCGCTGGAGTCAGGACTGTTCTGTCCCCTGCATGCGCCTGTGCACCGTGTGACCAGCCTGGGTGTCCCAGTGCCTGGGGGCCACGTGCTCTGAATATGTACCCTGTTCTTTCCTCCTCCTCAGTGTTACGTCTTCGGAGAAGGTGGACAAAGCACAGCGCTATGCTGACTTCACCCTTCTCTCCATCCCATACCCAGGTACAGGGCTGCTGGGGATGGGGAGCTCCTTGTGTGTGGCGGGCAAAGGCTGGGACTCCCTGCATGTTCCCTAGTCTCTGGAGCAGGAAGCTCTCTAGGCCAGCAGGAGCATGTGCACGTGTCTAGAAGGGGTCTAGAGGATGTGAGCCAGCACCAGGCAGCTTAGTTGCATCCTGTGAGGGCTTGACCCTGCAGGGCCAAGTTGCAGTGGGAGTAGCTGTGCTCACAGCCCTCCCTAAACTGCCAGTCTCAGGGGATTTAGGCCCAGGGCAGATATGTATGGATGGAACCTGAGTGCCCCACTGCTCCATGTCTTCTTGGGGCTGGGGGTCACTTGAGGAGTTTAAGTCTCTCCCTCTGACCCTTCAAAGGAGAGGGAAGAGGGAGATTCATGTTTGCCGGTCACAAAAGACCAGCCCCCACTGCTCCTCCTTGCCCTCCCCCTGGATGAGCCCTGCCTGGCCCCAGACCTGCAGTGGGGAAGCATTGTTTTGATACCGAGAGGAGGCACAAAGTATCTTGTTCCACAGTGCGGGTCAGCATTGGACTCGCTGTGGATAGGCAGCACGCACAGCTGCTTGGCCGACAACAGGCCTCCACAGTTTGCGCCTGAACCCTTGTGCCTGCCACATCAGAGCCATGCGGCTGCCCGTGTGCAGCAGAACTCCAGCCTGTGCCACTGCCTAGGCCCCTGTTTCTACCTTAGGCAGCTGGTCCTCTGAAGGGCTTGGGCAGAGGGGGGATTCTGCAGTTGGCTGTTGGTGCTCCTCTGGGCTGGGGGCTGCTGGCTCATAATGCACATGGCTACACCTGACTCCTGCATCGCCTAGTGCCTGTGCAGCTGCTGCCCATGGCAGCTCCTCACTTCTGTGTCAGGGCAGAGCTTTGCTAGGCTGCCGAGCTCTCCAAGCACAGCCTGGTCACAGGGGGAGGGGGAGGGGGAGGGGGAGGAGGCCACGGTGTTACATTAAAGCGAGTGCAGCAGCTGTAATGGATGGAGCAGCGCAGAGGGAATGCTCTAATTACGGCTGGATCCAGGTTCACAGCATCAGGACTTCCTGTTCAGAACTGGGCTGTAAAATTGCTCCAAGCTGAAACTGCAGAGAACTCGCTGTTCTCAGAGCAAGGGGGTCACTTCCAGGAGGTGGAGAGCATTTGGGCTGGAGGCTGGTGTTAAAGGGGAAAAAGGGGGGTGGACATTCGTGCTCTTGCAGTTCTCATGGCTTCCCTTCCCGTGGGCATCTGCAGCATGCCCACTGCTGGTGCAATGAGGTGCCGTGTTCAGTGCCCCAGTTCTTAAGGTTTTGTCTAAGCTTGCAATTTGAAATTGGGGCTTGAGCAGTCACTTAGCATCTTGGGCAGAGACCTGTGGGAGCCTTTCCCTAATGGGGGTTGGGTTGGCCATATCCTGCTCCAGGTGACATTTCCCATTTGAAAACCAAGCCCATCTCCTCTTCCCCCTCCCTGAGTTTTGAAGCTCTGGGTTGTCCCCCTCTCTTCCCCCTCCCTCCAGTCAGGTAGACTCCAAGTCCAGCTGCCACTGCACTGAGGCACTTGTGTGCAGATGGTTGTGTGCATGGTGCAACCACCCGTCTGCATGCACTCGCGGTGGCAGCAGGGGGGTCTTGGTGCGGACTCCTAGTATCCAAAGAGAACCAGCTTCAGCTCTGCCAGAGCTACTGTCGTGCTCTGCAGTGCTGCCTGCAACCCCAGGGCAGCACTGTGGGGAACACCTGGTGCATGCTCCTCTGATGTGAAGGGAATACCCCAGATGTGTGGTGATACTGTCCCTGAGAGCTGGAGGAGGGTCACAACAGGGTTAGTGCCTTGGGAGCCTCCTCTGCATCGCCACTGGCTCGCCAGGGCAGCACTTGGGGACCAGGCTGCACACTGCATTGATGGCTGGCCCTGACCTCCCGCAGGCAGGCTGATTGTGGATTCACTCCATGTGCTGGAGTCCTGGCTGGCGCTGAGGCTGTCAGCTCCTTGTCCCCCTGGGGATTCCAGCAGTTAGCGATCAATTGTCTGCACAATCACTCGTTGCCTTGTCTCTTGCAGGCTGTGAATTTTTTAAGGAGTACAAAGATCGGGATTATACTGCTGAAGGCCTCGTGTTTAACTGGAAGCAGGTACAAGGATGTTGCTAACCGGAAAGCTGTGGGCTCTGCTGCGCCTAATCCTTGACGCAGGACCTTGCAAACAGTTACATAACAGTGCATGTCCCTCCTTGCCATGTGGAGGGAACCCAACAGGAAGGGGCTGTCTCTGCAGCAAATCAGCATCCTGCACTCTGGGATGCTCTGGCTGCCTATGGGGAGCTGGACCTTGCTGTGGCTGGCCTGGTATCGTGGTCTCCACGTACCTGTGACCTGAAGCTAATACTTTGTAGGTGGCCTCTAGTCTCAGTTTTGCAGTTCTGTGGTCTGCCTGCTGGGGAGGTGGAGGGCCAGGGCCCTGCAGAGATCCTCACACTGAAGTGCCTTGTCCCTAGCTGCTTACTCTCCCCCTCAGGAGGAAGGGCCTGTCGTGGTGCACTAGCCTCTTCCCTTCAGCAACCCACTGTGTCCAGAAGTACCCCAAAGCCAGGCTAGAGGCAGCACTCACTGCCACTGCTCTGCTTTCTGTGACCAGTTCCATTGGAGCTGCTCCCCCTCCCCTCAACTGATTCATGGCTGACCTGTGTGTCTTTGCAGGATTATGTAGATGCTCCATTAAGTATCCCAATCTCCCTGACTCAGGCTCTGAATATTGACTGGAGCGAATACCAGGTGAGCAGTGCTGGGGCTCCTGGGGAATTGGTAGGCCACAGGCAGATGGGAGCAGTCAGGTCACCTGGACTAACCACATGCATGATATCCCACACTCCCGGCAGCAGGAGCTGTTGCACTGGGTCACTGGCTCTCCTGAGCTCCATGCTCCAGCAGACTCGTGCTCGTGGCTGTTGCCCTGCAGCCTGTCTCCTGAGGCTGCACTTCCCTCTGCCAGCAAGGAGCTGCACTTGCAAATCCAGCCCTGTTCCCTTCGGTGCCTGTGGCTGCAGCCTCTCGCCCTCTCTGCCCACCACGATTGCTTCACCGGGTTCTCCTGAGTGGCGTGTTGAGTCTTGTGTGGTCCCTGCATTGGAGTGTGTGTCCTTTCAGGTCCCCTCTGCTCTGCCTGTGATGCCAGCCTCTACCCCTAAGGTCCTTTCTCTTCCAGCTGCTGGCTGTCTCCCTGCCCCAGGTGCCTGTCATTGTTGGTGGTGGAATTGCCTCTCCACCCTTGTCCCAAATACCATATTTTTGTATTGTTTTCCTGGAAGGATGACTGTTCTGAGCTCCTGAGCCAGAGTGCTGGCTTCCTTGGTTGTGCTGCCGGTATGAATGCCGCTGTCACAAAACCTGGGGTGGGGGGTGTTACAGCACCCCTGGAGTGAGGTAAACGGCTCCCTGTTCCAAGAATAGCCCCATTCCCTGCCTGATCTGTGAAAGGAAATGGGCTGTGCTTTGGGTTTGAAATTGCTACATGTGTTCCATGCTTGCCAAGTAGCTGCAGTAAGGTACAGGCCAGCCCAGGAGGGTGCATGGACATATGTGCCAGGGGCATGTGCACACATGGCCCCCATGGAGCTTTCTACATTTAGGTGGCTGCAGTGATGATTTCTTGGGCTCCACACATGCCCCAGGGACAGGCAGGGGCTTGGGGGCTTGACTGTCCAGAACAGCAGTAGCTTAGTGTGGGCCTTTGACCCTCAAGGGCTTTTCTTAATGTACGGTGCAGGCGGCTGTGGGCTGTAGCTGGCTTCCCACGGTGGCAGTGCGTCACGGGGGAAGAGCAGGGAGCACTGAAGCTCAGTGAAAGGCAGTAGTGCTAGGTGACATTGCCTCCCCCAGTGCCTGCCTGCTCCCTGCAGCTCAAGCTGGCAGGTGCAGAAGGAGCATGCTGCTGCCATTGCCCCTGCTGGGGTTTTGGACAGAGTTCCCCACAGCTGGAAGACCGAGATGGGGCCAGGCTTTCCTGTTGCATGCTGCTGGGGTTGGCAGGTGCTCTCAGACCTGTAGGAGAAGGCAGGAAATGGCAGCTCTGCTGGGCCCCCACGTCCTTCCCTTCCGCAGCCCCGTGCTGATGTGGTGCCTCCGGTGCCCTGCTGCTCCTGCAGGCTGCAGGTGTCCTGCTGGCACGGCAAGGGGTGCTCCCTGGCAGGAGCAAGCTGCTCTGTCCTGCCTGCCTGCCTGATGCTGCTGGAGCCATCAATCCCTGGGATTTCCCTGGACAGGCCGTAGTGCTGGGCTTGGAGCAGTGCACCCACCTCTGTAGCACACAGCAAGGAAGAGTCCACAAAAATTGATCTAAAGCACCAGCATGAGCCAAGCCAAGCGGAGCCACCCAAGAGAGGGCAGCACCTGTGAGGCACTGGGCCCAGGACCAGCTAGCCTGCGGCACGTGCCTCATTTGTTAAGCATCCTGAGCAGCCAGAACTCCTGCAGCTGCCTGGGAAAGGATGTTGGAAGAGCAGAGTGGGGGCAGGAAGGAGCCACAGAAACAACCAAAAGAAGCAGCAGAGCCTGGTTTGTTGGCCTGGGCAGGGCAAGCGAGCAGGGACCGAGTTAGGGAGCCAGCAGTGCAGCTGGGACCATGTGCTTAATAAGGGCAGAGATGGAGGCCGGGGCCACACAAATCCTAATGAGCACTGAGAGCGACTGACCACACAGATCAACTACTGAGGAGGAGAGAGCTCCAGAACGGCAGCAGAGATGGGGAAGCTCTAGGCGAGTGCTGGGTGCCAGGGTCCTGGCGGGGCCTCTGGCTGGTGGAACAGGATGCTGTGCTGTCCCTTCTGGCTTCTCCGTGGACCTGCCTGGGAATCTCTTGGCTCATGGACTCTGGCAAAGGCTGGGGAGTAGGAGGAGGTCCCAGGCTTGTGTGCATCACTCTTCCCCACTTCTCAACCTGTGGCAGCTCTTATCCCCACCTCACCCCTGCAGGTGTGGGGCAGCAGGACAAGCTGGCAGTGGTCTGTCCTACTGTCTCTGGAGGATGAGAGCACCTGTTCTCTGCTTCAGGTCACTGCGTGGAGGTTCAGGGGCTTGGTCGCCCATCCTTTCCCTGCTCCCAGCACAGGTTGTGCTGCAGGTGGTTGCAGAGCCCTGGCCTGCTGTTTGTCACAATGTGGGGGCCTGGCATCAAAGTGCTGTGTTCATGCAAATGGGGCACAGGAGGAAGGAAGAATACCTGCTTCCCCAGCCCCTGCCACCTGTGAGCTTGAGACCTGGAGGCCTTCTGTGTGGATGAACAGGAATCTGCTGCTGTCTGCAGAAAGTGGGTCAGTGCTCAGCAGGAGCCCCCAGGTCTCCAGCAGTCCAGTCCAAGATGAGGGAACTCACTGCTACAATTGCAGGGCCAGTGCCCAACCCCCAATCTGGCCCAACTGCACAGCTGCAGCGCTGCTGCAAAGCGCTTCCCAGCACCAACACCTGGGGCCACAGAACTGGGTCGGGGCTCAGCAGGGTGTGCGGAGGCGCTGCTCAGCTTTTGGTGCATGGGCAGGCTCCCACGCCTGCAGCCTCCAGCTCTGCTAGGGCCAGGGAGCCAACTTACACCTTCCCCTGCCCCACACTGGGCCCCCGCAGTCCAGGGGCTGGGCCACTACTGCCCAGTCTCCTCCTGACTGGGCAGTTTTTGCGGGTGAAGCTGTTGGGCCAACATTGGTGGGAGGCAAAGCAGGGCTGTGGCCTTGGCAATGCTCTGGGGGGTTGTTTGTACTGAGGGTCATGCATTCATCGTGCCCTCTGGACCCAGGGCAGTTTCTCACCTCTCCTGTTCTCTGCAGAGCTGGGACCTGGTGCAGCAGACACAGAACTACCTGAGGCTGCTGATCTCGCTCATCAACAGTGATGGTGAGGCTGCGCCCCAGCGGGTGGGACTTAGAGCACATTTCCCCTCCCCCTAAGCCCGGCAGGATAAGCATGCAGCACCCAGGCTGGGCACAGTCTGCAGCCCTGTCTGAAGCATTGCTTCTCTGGGGCTCTGCCCCCTGGGGCCACTTGTGGGACCTCCGTTCCCCCATGGCAGGGGGCTATTGCAAGAAGCACACTCACCAGCCCCTCTGTCCCCTGGGGGGACTAGTATCCCAAAAGTAGGAGAGACTGGGAGGGCCCAGGCAGGCCCTGGGCCCAGAACCTCTAAATGCCTGACCCAGCGCCAAGTGGGCAAGTGGAGGGCAGGATCTCGCTGCTCCCCTTCCTGTGACCTGCCACTGGTGTCTCAGAAATGTTCATGTGTCCTGCAGGAGGGGGCAGTATGTCTAGGCCTGGGCCGGCCACTGTCACGCTGCCTCTGGACATGAACAGCACTGTACCGCCCTAAGCGCAGCCTCTCGTGTACAGGTGGGCATGGGGGCCTCAGAGCTCGCTGCCCCAACAGCAGGCCGTGTTGTTGCTGCTGCTGCTGCCCTGTCTAACAAGGTGGTGGGAGGGACCTTTGCCTACACTGCTCAGTGGCCCTGTCGGCAGAAGGAGGGGACCCGCTGCTCCTGGGGTGACAGCTGGGTCTCGGCCTCCAGTGAGGATGGAGCTCTGACGGGGCAGGCCAGGATGGGCAGTACTTGCTGCCATGCCACTCACCTTCGTGAGCTGAGGTTCCTGCTCCAGGATGGCTGCAGGTGTGGGAGACCTGGGCCGCCACATCCCCGGCACTTGGCTGCCTGGGCCGTGTTCCCTCCCACCTGCATGCAGGGTCGGGGAGTTTTCACTGCAGATCTGTCCCTAGCAAGGGGCTCTGTTCCCACTACAAAGCACTCTCTCGTCCTCCCCCTCAAACAGATGACAGTGGGCTCCTGGTGCACTGCATCTCTGGCTGGGATCGGACCCCCCTCTTCATTTCTCTCCTGCGCCTCTCACTGTGGGCTGTGAGTACCCAGTCCGTGCACTCTGGCTTAGGGGTGACAGCTGGGGTGGCTGGTGGCATGGGTCGAAAGACAGCTGGGTGTGCTGCCCTGCTGGCTTGGCGGGTGGAGTAGGCACGGTATGCTGTCTTTGGGGTGTTGAGCTGGGCACCTGTGCCTGCACCAGCTGGGCATTGACATGGTGACCTGGCACATGCTCTGGCTGTATGTGCATCAGACGCAAGGTTACAGCAGGGTGGACACCTGGCTGGCCCAGCCTGTGGCACTGAGCCTTGCCCATCTCTTTTCAGGATGGGCTGATTCACGCATCCCTGGAGCCTGCCGAGATCCTCTACCTGACTGTGGCCTACGACTGGTTCCTCTTCGGGTAGGAGCCAGAGGTCTGCTGAGCGGTGGCTGGTTCCTTTCAGGGCCAGCTCTAGCCTGTGACCAGGCCAGCTGCCTGAGGCCAGAGGATTATAGAAAGATGATGGGGGAGGCAGGGTAGTCTGTTGGCCTGGAGATGCTGCCTCTGTAGTGGGAAGGGCTTGCTTACATCCCAGTCAACACTGCCAATAACCCTGCCTTGCTCTTACCTGGCTCCCTGGCACTTCACAGCCTTCCCTTGCTCTTTCTAGGCACATGCTGGCGGATCGGCTCAGCAAAGGAGAGGAGGTGAGCATATACTTCAGGCTGGGGGCAGCTCTCAAGCACAGCGCTCACTCTGCCCACCCAGCATCCCTCTGAGGAGCAGCCCCCATTGCCCCTTGGGCTGGCCGGCACTACGGGGTTGTGCCCACAAGGCAGGGGGCTGCCTCAGCACAGGGACTGCATCTCAGGGAGCCGGCGCTCATGTTCACTGTGTGCCCTGGCACAGATGCACTGAGATGCTGTTCAACTTGGCTCAGGGACATTTCAGGTTCTGGCATCCTCTGAGCCCTGGAGCGGATTGGTCGAGAACTGCCCAGGTTAGCCAAGGCGGCAGTGCTTCAGAGCAATGGTCGCACAGGGCAGCAGCTTCAGAGACACAGTGCTCAGCCAGAGAGTTAGGGGACCCTTGGGTCACTCTAGCACACATGGGAACTTCCTCCCTCCCCCTGCCAGGCGGGGAGGTCGGGGAGTCTGAACCAGCCCAGCTGGCATGCCGGGGTGGGCTCCTGCTTTCTCAGCTGTCCCCAGTCAAGTCTTAGCAAGCTGCTCATGGGTGTGACGTAGCCCCTGGCCCATGAGGCTTTCGCAGCTGGGTGTCCTGGGAACAGGCACATCCGCTAGCCGGGTGAAGTGTGGCAGGAA